GGAGCCCCTGCTGTGTGCCCGGCCCCGGGCCCGGCCCTGCGGCCCTGTGGGTTCCCCAGGCTCCCTAAGATAGGCTGCCTCAAAGGAGCCCTGTCACCCCACTTTGCAGATGGGTAAAAGCCGAGCATGGGCAGCCTCGCCCTTCGTGCCGATCAACCACACGTGTTTTGCTTTCAGTGGTGGACCTGGCTTCCGCAGACCTGGAAGAGGTCGCGCAGAAGTGTGGCTTGTCTTACAAGGTGAGCTGATGACCTCCTTCCAAACCTGGGTGCCTCCAAATGTCTGTCCCTGAGCCGGGGCGGGGGAACAGGTCAGGAGGAGGGGACGGGGGCGTGCGGGGCTCTGGGGTGCCCCCTCCCTTGCCTGGTCGTTGCTCCTTGCTGGGGTTCAAGTGCCCCGGCCCATCCTGAGTTGCCCCGCCCCTTCGCAGGCCTTGGTTGCCCTGAGGCGGGTGCTGCTGGCTCAGTTCTCAGCCTTCCCCTGCAATGGCGCCGATCTCTACGAGGAACTGAAGACCTCCACTGCCATCCTGTCCACTGGCATTGGAAGGTGTGTATGTGCCCGTGGGGAAGGAGGTGAGAGCCGGAGGCTATGGATGCTTCCGGCTTGGCTCTTGATACTTGAGTCTCTAGAGCAAGCATGTCAAATTCGCGGCCCATGGGCCACATGCTTCGTTTATTTGACCTGTGTTAGTTAGCCTTTGAGTTTGACATGCTTGGTCTAGAGAGCAGGGGTGAGGGCAGCAGGGACTGATGGTCAGGGCTCCTGAGTTCTTACCTTATAGCAGGGCTTCTCAACCTCACACTCCTGACATTGATTTGCTCCTGAGCTGGAGGATGTTTGGCGGAATTCCTCACCTCTGTCCACTAGGTGCTAGTAGCACCTTCCTCCTCCCCAAATTGTGCAAACAGAAATGTCTCCAGAGCCCTGGCAGGTGTGGCTCGGTTGGTTGGAGTGTCCTCCTGTACACCAAAAGGTGGTGGGTTCTATTCCCTGTCGGGCACATAACCAGGTTGAGGTTCCATCCCTGGTCAGGGTGTGCGGGAGGCCAACATTTGATGTTTCTCTTTAACATCTATGTTTTCCTCGCTCTCTTTTTCTCTTTCTCCCTTCCTCTCTATCAAATCAATTTTTAAAAATGTCTCCAGACATTGCCAAATGACCCCCGAGAAACAAGATTGCCCCTGATTGATCACCGCTGTCTTATAACACAAGATGTCAGTATTTCATTATTATTCAGCAGATCAGAGCAACTCTCCTTCGGCCCTACGTCATATTTCACTTAAGAATAAGACAAGAAAGAACATACAGGACTAACATTTATTGAGTGCCTACTATGTGCCAACCAAACCAGCTGGGGCTGTAATTCATTCTTTCAAGAATATTTATTGAGTGCTTACTTTAAATATGCCAGAGCCCAAGCCTCCACAGACAATTTAATCAAACTCTCTGGGGGCGAGACCCCGGCATCAGTATTTTTTGAACCTCCCAGGAGTCTCCAGGGTGCAGGCAAGTTTGGGAACCACTAACACTTGCCTCTTAAAACACACACATGTTTGCATTGATTTCAGAGAGAGGAAGGGAGAGGGAGAGGGAGAGATAGAGATAGAAAAATGGATCAGCTGCCTTCTGCACGCCCCCCACATGGGATCAAGCCCAAAACCGGGGCATGTGCCCAGAGCGGGAATTGAACCGGTGACTCCTGGTGTGTGGGGTAACGCTCAAGCAACTAAGCCACACCAGCCGGGCAATACCTGCCTCTTTTTAAAACTCCTTTGGTGCCCTGGCATGTGTGGCTCAGTTGGTTGAGCATCATCCCATGCACGGGAAGGTCGCTGGTTAGGTTCCCAGCCCAGACTGTGGGTTCTCTCCCTGGTTGGGGTGTGCACGGGAGGCAGCCAGTTAATGTTTCTCTCTCACATCGATGTTTCTCTCCTCCCTTCCTCTCTAAAATTAATAAAAAACATTTCTTAAAAGACCACTCCTTTGCTGATTTTAGTAGGCAGGATTGAGAATCACTAGTCTAATGATTTCAAACCAAGCATGCATCCAAATCACCCCGAGGCCTTGTTGGAACTCAGATGCAATCTCCACCCCCAGGTGGGGGCTGAGAGTTCGCGCTTCTAATCAGTTCCCAGGTGATGCTGCTGCTCTGGGGGCTGGCCGGGCAATACTGCCTCTTTTTAAAACTCCTTTGGTGCCCTGGCAGGTGTGGCTCAGTTGGGGGCCACAGCTGGAGAAGCTCTGCTGTGATGGGACTGGGGTTCTCTGGTCTCAGTGGGAGGAATGGGATCCAGGAATTGCAGAGCCTGGACGCCTTTTTAAACAGAGGCAGGGACAGCTGTCCTAAGATGCTGCAGGGCTGCAGTGTTTTGACTGGCAGGGGCCTGTGGTTAGAATCACGGGGTCCCTGGAACTGAAATAGATGGGGTGCTGACTGAGGTGCTACTTGGCATGTACAGAGGGGTCATGGGAGGTCACGGAACTATTTCCGAGGACTGGCACCTGTGAAGGTGATTGTAGGGTGAGCTGAGGGATGCTTGTGGTCAGGACCCGGAGGCATTGGGTTGGGCTCTGGTGTAGGAGAATCTTCAGCCAGTAGGTTGGGCAGGACATGGAGGGTGGTTAGTGACCTGTTTCATGGTGGTTCAAGGACAGAACTCGGATTAGGAATTGGCCGTGTCTTGAGTTTTATCCCAAGGCTTCCACAGCCGGGGTTCCAATAACAATAGGACTAAATAGCATGTTCTATAGCTTATTTCTCTGGGACCATTTATTGTGGCAGTGTTGTGCCACTGCTGCACAGTGCCTGGATGTAATACTGAGCAAGGGCCAGTTCTTGCCCCAGGGTGCTCTGGGCCACATGGGAAAGACAGACAAAAACAAGTAAATAGAAAATAATTCCAAACCCCTAGAACTAATATGTGAATACAGCAAGGTTGCAGGACATAAGAGTAACACATAAAAATCAATTGCATTTCTATATACTCAAAATGAACATGTGGAAATGGAAGTTAAAAACACAATACCATTTAAAATTGCTTCCAAGAAAATGAAATACTTAGGTCTACCTCTAACAAAACAGATATAAGATCTGTATACTGAAAATTAAAAATTGCTGATGAGCCCTGGCCAGGTGGTTTAGTTGGTTAGAGCATCGTCCCAGTGCACCAAGGTTGTGGGTTCGATCCTCAGTCAGGGCACATACTGGAATCAACCAGTGAATACATAAATAAGAGCCACAGCAAATTGATGTTTCTCTCTCTCTCTTTTTGTCTTTCTTCCCTTTCTCCCCCTCCCTCCCTCTCAAAATTAATCAATTGTATTTTTTTAAATTGCTGATAAAAGAAATCAAAGAGAACCCAAATAAATAGAGGGACATATTGTATTTGTGGATTGGGAGACTGAACATAGCAAAGATATCAATTCTTCCCAAAATGATTTATAGATTTAATGCAGTTCCTACCAAAAATCCCAGCAAGGTTATCTGTAGAAATAGGCTTATTCTAATAATTTGATGGAAGAGCCAATGGCCTAGAACAGCTAAAACAATTTTGAAAAAGAAGAATAAAGTTGGAAGAACCATTCTAGCAAATGTTAAAGCTTACTATATAGCTGCAGTAATCAAGACAAATGTGGTATTGGCAAAGAGATAGGCATACAGATCAATGGAGCGGAATAGAGAACCCAGAAATAGACCCCAGATATGTCCAACTGATTTTTGACTAAGATGCAAAAACATTTCAGTGGAGGAGGAAAATAGCCTTTTGAACAAATGGTGTTGGAGCTATTGAACATCACAGGTAATAAATAAATAAACCTAAAATTGAAAATGGATCATGGACTTAAATGTGAAACTTAAAACTATCCATCTTTTAGAACAAAACAGGAGAAAATCTTTGGGAACTAGGCATATCGTTCTTAGACTTGACATGAAAGTATGAGCAATAAAAAAATTGATAATACGTTTTTTTAAAAAGTCAAAATGAAAAACTGACCAAAATTTAAAACTTCCTCTGCAAAAGAGGATGAAAAGGTGATCTATAAAGTGGGGAAAATATTTTAAAGCCACATACTCAACAAGGGACTTGCATCTAGAATACATAAAGAATTCTTAAACCTCAACAGAAACACGAACAGTCCAATTAGAAAATGGGCAAAATACATGAACAGATACTTCACCAAAGAGGACATACAGGTGGCAAATAATCACATAAAAGAATGTTGGACATCATTGTTCATTAGGGAAATGTAAATTAAAACACACTGAGATATGACTACACACTTAGTAGAATGATTAAAGTAAGAATGGTGAGCTCTGGCTGGTTTTGCTCAGTTGTTAGAGCAAACTGTGACCCCCTGGTTCATAGGTTGATGCTCAACCACTGAGCCACGCCGGCCTGACTGGAGAGATGATTTTTAAGCTGCGAGCGAAAGGGTGAGGAGGGCTCACGGAGGAACATTTAGCCATGCCCTTTCCCCGAAGGAAACTCTTCCTAGAGAAACCTCCTGGCCAGAGACATTGAGAACATCTCCGGACAGAACCAGTGCTAGGAAGGAATGTCTTGCTTTTCTTCTTGGCTACTAATTCCCTCCCTACTCCCTAGTACCCTGGGTTGATCCTCTTCCTTCCTCTTCTGCCATCAGCCTAGACAAACTGCTCGATGCTGGTCTCTATACTGGAGAAGTGACTGAGATCGTAGGAGTCCCAGGTAGCGGCAAAACCCAGGTAACACATACAGCGAGAAGCCAGAGGATTGGGAGAGGTAGGTATGTATGATCCTGGATCCCCAGGGAAGCTTCTGCCAATAGATTGTGATTCAGAGCTTGGAAGAGAGAAGATGGGTAGTGAGGAGTGGGCCTTGAACTTGACCCATTCATGTCACTGGGATCTGAATAGATTTGATGCAGAGCTCCCATCCTGGGCAATCTTTGAGGGCTCAAGTTCACCCAATGCCCGGTCTCTACTCAGGTATGTCTTTGTGTGGCTGCAAATGTGGCCCATGGCCTGCAGCAGAACGTCCTATACGTTGATTCCAACGGAGGGCTGACAGCCTCCCGCATCCTCCAGCTACTTCAGGCCAGAACCCCAGATGAGGAAGAGCAGGTAAGGGGTAGGACTGCTGGATTCCTTTAAAGCCGTGACACAGAGACCCCATGATCCCTTACATTATAAGGATCTTAGCCACTTGGAGGAGTTGTCCTTTCTGGCTTTGAAACTTGCTGTTCCATGAATACTTCCTGTATCCTTCCAGTTTCCCTGTTGTAACATCATCCCAACTTGGATGCTGTTCACACACGATCCCCCCAGCTCCTTGCATACCTTAATTCAGGGCTGGCAAATACCCAGCGTCTGTGTTCCTATCCCATTTCTTGCCCGGGGCAGACACCGCCGTCAGTCCTATCACTCTTTCCCACTGTGCTCTGACTTAGCTTTGCAGCTCAGCACCCAGGCAGCCACCACCGTGAGAACTGCCCCGTTAGACAAAGCGTACTTGCCGTCCTGGGCCTGAGTCCTTATATCCTGCTCAGCCTTAAAACCCCTCTTCGTCTTGCTGGACCCTGCTCCCTCTTATCCAAAGCCCCCCGCCTCTTTCCCACCCCTTCAGGCAGGAGCCCTCCAGAGGATCCAGGTGGTGCGTGCCTTTGACATCTTCCAGATGCTGGATGTGCTGCAGGGCCTCCGAGGTGCTGTGGCCCAGCAGGTGAGTCTGCTGTTCCGCTCCTCCCAGCTTCACCCAGCTGGCCGGGTGCTGTCTATATGTGGGCAGGTGTCCCCCTACAGACTCTCTGGAAATGCAGATGTGCAATCTGGTGACTCCAGCTGGGCTTGCCACTCCCAGGATGGGATGCTGAGTGCTTCATTCATTCCTGAGTGCCTCATGGTGTACACACTCCTCTTCCCCACTAAACAGTAAGCCCCTTGAGTGCCAGGATCATATCATACTCATCTCTGCATTCCTCCGATGGATCCGTTTTCAGCTGCACGTAAGAGAGCATGACTGACAGATACTTAAACTTTGAGGACATTTAATTATCTCACCTGAGTCTGCAGGTTGGCAGGGCCACATTATTAGGGCTTGAGGCTGGTGTGTGTGATTCTCTTGCTCTTTCCCCTTGTGATTGCAAAGTGGCGGCTATTGATCTAAGCCTCATATATTTTTAAAAAATAATATATTTTTTTATTGATTTCAGAGAGGAAGGGAGAGGGAGAGAGGGATAGAAATATCAATGATGAGAGAGAATCATTGAATGGTTGCCTCCTGCACACCCCACACTGGGGATCGTGCCCGAAACCCTGGGCATGTGCCCTGACTGGGAATCAAACCATGATCTCCTGGTTCATAGGTTGACGCTCAACTACTGAGCCACACTGGCCGGGCTAAGCCTCATATTTTTATACATCACATCCACATTCAGGGCAGTGAAAGGAGATGCCTCTTTTTTTGTACTTCTTCCCCTTTTATGAGGGAAGAAAATCTTTCTCCGAAACCCGCTAGCAGACTGCCCATTTCCCCTTGCATCTAATTGGCCAAAACTGAGTTATATGTGCATCTTAGACCAGGGGTTGGGCCCACCTTCCCTGATGTCAGAAGATCTGTGTTCAGGACCCAACCACATTTGGAGTTGTGTTAACAAGCAAGAGGGGTTCGGAATGGCATTTGGGTTGGTTCCCTGCAAACCTGCAAAGTGTTTAGACAGGATTTGGTGCACTGATTTATAGACTATTAGATTTGGAAGACACCTTAGAATCGTTTAATTCATCTTAAATGTTTTCCTTCACCCCAAAGCGTGACATGTTCCTATGGGCATACCCAGGATTGTATATCATTTTTACAAACTTTAGAACATAAAATAGTTGAACAACTACTTGCCAGGGGCTGACCCTACAGAATAGGACTCACTTCAGTGGGGCTCTGGTGCCCAGTGAGGCCCACCCCTGGAGTGTTTCGCTGGTGGAGGTGATTGGGTGGTGCTCCAGCGTGGTCTGAAGCTGTCCACGGGGGCGGAGGGGCGGGGGCAGCATGCAGTCTTATCTTATATAACACTAGAGTCCCGATGGATGAAATTAGTGCAAGAGTAGGCCTTCCTTTCCCCGGCTGCCGGCACTGCCTTCCCTCTGGCACCGGGACCCGGGCTTCCCTCGCAGCCCCAGCTTCATCCGGAAGGTCATCCGGAAGGACGTCTGGTCTAATTAGCATATTACGCTTTTATTATTATAGATAACCTTCGCCATGTAGCATAGCCTAATTAAGAGAGTGACACTCCAACACCTTTGCCATTTTAGTCAGAAGTAAGTCACAGGACACATCCATGGTCAAGGGGAGGGGATTATACAAGGGTGTGAGAACCTAAAGGTGGGGATCGTGGGGGCCACTTAAGGCTCTGTCTGCCACAGATGACCTGGAAGTGACGAACAGGGAAAGGCTTGCTGTTCCATTTTAATCAGAGATTTCAACCTGCTCTCCCAGAGAGTAAGGAAGGGCTAAGCCAATTTCAGTTGTAGCTTCTCTCTTTTCTGCCATCCTCTCTTAGATAAGCTGGTGACTGGCCAAGAGTCAGTAAGTGGAAGACGAAGGAAGACATGCCAGAGACAGAGCAGATAATGCTGAATATCTACTAGTTAAGACTCAGCTCACGTGAAGTGAAAAAAAAGTTGAGAAAACAGTCAGCAAATGACTTGGATATAAGGAGTAAGGGAGAAGAGAAGCATCAAAAATAGGTCCAAAAAAACCACAAAACCCAAAAAACAGAAAAGAAAAAAAACACACAGGAAGATGCTAATGCTTGTGTAGAGACAAAAAATTATGATTTAACAGATGGCTGTCTGTATAGTCCACATTTGGAACCATTTTAGATACAGAAACTGAGGCCCTAGAAGCATGATCTGGAAGGCGACAGTGAAGAGAAGAGAAAGCTAAGCTCAAAGGAAGTTGCGACTCTGAAAAGTGAGCAGAAGAGGGAAAGAGGGGCCTGACAGGAGAAAGGTGGCCACTAAGAAAATCCCTGACCAGGGTCCACAGCACCGAACAGGGATTTCTCAAATCTAATGATTTTAGGGTATCTGGATGTCCTGTGATTTAAACCTTCTCTATCCGCCCAAAACTTCAGTAAAATCTCTTATACGGTCCACAGCACCGAACAGGGATTTCTCAAATCTAATGGTTTTAGGGTATCTGGGATGTCCTGTGATTTAAACCTTCTCTATCTGCCCAAAACTTCAGTAAAATCTCTTCTATGTACAAATGAGATTGAGGGAAAAAGACATTGATGAAATTGGATGATACCTGCACAGCTGTATTTGGTCAGGGAAGGTTCTCACCAGTTTCTTTAAAAATGTTTTTATTGATTTCAGAGAGGAAGGGAGAGGGAGAGAGGGATAGAAACATCAATGATGAGAATCATTGATCGGCTGCCTCCTGCATGCCCCCTACTGGGAATCGAGCCCACTACCCAGGCATGTGCCCTGACAGGATCGACGGTGGCCTCCTGGTTCGTGGGGTGGTTGCTCAATCACTGAGCCACACTGGTTGGGCTCTTACCAGTTTATATTAGAATCAAGCTTGTGTTGTAATGGGCGCCCCCTAGAGGCCAAGTGGTTGATGACACCTGCTTCCCCCAACCCCTTAGGTGAGCCGTTCTTCAGGAACTGTGAAGGTGGTCATTGTGGACTCCGTCACCGCCGTGGTCTCCCCACTTCTGGGAGGTCAGCAGAGGGAAGGTGAGTGATGTGTGTGGCAGAGCCCAGGGTCAGAGACGTGACCTTGTCTCCCAGCTCTGGAGTCCCGTCTCCAGCCAGCCCAGTCCCTAATGCCCTGCTCCCTCCCGCTCTGCTTCTCCTCCAGGCTTGGCCTTGATGATGCAGCTGGCCTTGGAGCTGAAGACCCTGGCCCGGGACCTCGGCGTGGCTGTGGTGGTGAGGAAGGGGGCGTGGCCAGCGTGCTTGTCTTACCTCTGATCTCTGGGCTTCACCAAGAGGGAAGATGAACCTGATTTCTAGTTGTGGCTAGAAATATATTTCCCTTAAACGGCAGTTTTTTTATTGCCGTATACAACAGTTTCTGGACCCCCAAAATGGCCCTTTAGGGAAGGGTCACAGCCCAACCTCCCTGGGTCATCTAGAGCACTGGACCATGAGGGGACCCACCTATAACAGCCTTGTATCCTGTCTAGACTGCAATCAAGAGACAGAATATCTATTTCTATCACCTCAGAAAGGTGCCCTGGGCATGTGCCCTGACTGGAAATCAAAGCCTGACCTCCTGGTTCATAGGTCAACACTGAGCCACACCGAAAGGGCAAGATTGCCATTTTTAGCAGTTACCTATTATCTTGTTTAATACCTATGTTACAGGGTCGGCAAACCTTTTCTATTAAGGGTCAGGTAGTAAATATTTGAGGCTTTATGACTATACTAGAGGCCCGGTGCACGAAATTCATGGATAACAGATAGGGTCCCTACGCCTGGCCAGCGATCAGGGCCAATTGGGGCCTTCTAGCTGCTGGCTGGGGACTTCCTTCATTCCACGCCGCCCCCTGATGGTCAGCGCACATCATAGCGAGCGATCGAACTCCCGGTCAGTCGAACTCCCGAGGGGACACTTTGCATATTAGACTTTTATATATAGACTAGAGGCCTGGCACATGAAATTTGTGCATGGGTACAGTCCCTAGGCCTGGCCTGCGATCAGGGCCATCTTCCCCAGCTGCCCACAGCTGCCCCCGCCCCCCGCCACCACCCAACCCTGGTTCCCTGTTCGCCATCGGGCGATTGGAGCCTGCCGGCCAGGAGGAGGGACCAAGAGGTCAGCCATTCCTGCCCGCTGCAGGTTGCCCTCTGTGTGTGGGGCGACCAGCAGGGTAGGGGCCTTGGCCCACATCCCCCACCACCTACCCCCGGTTCCCCGTTCACCATCGGGCAATGGGAGCCTGCCGGCCGGGGAAAGGGACCAAGAGGTGGTCAGTGCGCCTCATAGTGACTGGTCAAGTGGTCGTTCTGGGTCATTCTGCCGTTAGGGTCAATTTGCATATTGCCCTTTTGTTATATAGGATGGTCTATGTCTCAATTACTCAACTCTGCCCATATAGCATGAGAGCAGGTGTAGAGAATACCCAAACAAATGGGCAGGGCTGTCTTCCAAGAAAACCTGATTTTACAAAACAATTTTTGGGCCAGATGTGGCCTGTAAGCAATAGTTTGCTGACTGCTGAGGTACCATAACAATCTATTTCTTGATTTGGAGCCTATAGATTGTTAGTGGTTTTCCTTTATTTTATTTTTATTTTGTTTTCCCTATTTTAAACAAAACTCTAGTGAACACCCTTATACCTAAATCTCTTTGCACATCTCATATTATTTTCTCAAACACCTAAAGGTATAATTACTGAGTGAGGGATACACATATTTTTTTAAGATCTAGAGATGACTTTGCCAAATTTCCAGGCAGGATTAATAATTGCACACCCACCAGCAGTGAAAGAGGATCTGTCTCCCTATTCTTTTGTTCTTATACTGGGTTCCAGGGCCTCCCTCTCCTGACTTTCGGTTATGTGATCACCTGCTGGATGCTATGCTCTGGCCTAGGCAGTGGGGATTCAATGATGAACAAGTTATAACCCTTGCCCTGGGGTGAGTGTTGGGGGGGTGGGGGTTGGAGGGTGAGGAGAACCTGATCAAGAGGATGCTGTGAGGCTTGGTTTGCTTACCTATGAGCCTGGGCAGAGTAGAGCTGGCCAAGCAGATTAGGAACCCCTTTCCAAAACTCCTCCCCTTCCGTATACAGAGATGCACCCCCTGACACTAAGGGCTGATTGGACATGGTCTCAGGAAGCCTGTCTGCTGGGTTGGGGGTGGGGGTGGGGGTAGTATACTCAAGTGCTGGGGTCCAGCCCCAGCGGGTCCAGGGGTCCCCAAAGGTGTGGACGGAGTCGGCGAAGAAGGAATGACATGGAGGCAGCGTTCAGTTGATCAGCAGCCTAGCCAAATTTCTATTGCAAAGGTTAGGGCGTTTCTTATCTCCATTCCAGGGAGTAAAGATTATGTAGCTTAAGCGTGATTGTTTGTAGTTAAAGTGATTAACTACCCGCCTGGCACTTAGTTAAGGGGTTGTATCCCCTCCCTAACCTCAGGGAAAAATCCCTACCTGGGGAAACAACCTTTCTCGGAGAGGTGACCTTGGTTAAAACACATGGCGCTAAGGAGAGCAAACATATTAAGAACAATATGCTATATATGCCGGGTCCCTTGAAACATATGCTGTGCAGATGTTTCTTTCCTGCAGCGACTGTGTCAAGCAGCAAGGATGGACCGGCTTCCGGCACTCAAGACCACCACTGGCCTCCCTTCAGGAAAGTGCAGACAGCACTGCTTATTCCCAGACACATTCCCCATCACCTGTGTTGGAGTCAAGCTTGAGGCGTTGTGGTTTAGTGGAAAGAGCTGTGTACAAGTCAGGAGGCCGGGGTCTGGTTCAGGACCTGCGTGGTGAAGTTATGGAGTCTTGGGGGAGGAGTTTCTCCATGCTAGGCCTCAGTGTTCCCATCTGTAAAACGAAGGCGTCGGAACAGATGTCCTCCCTACTAGCATTATGGATCGTAAGTCTCTGATTCTTTCTGCCGCAGGTGACCAACCACATGACCCGAGACAGGGACAGCGGGAAGCTTAAACCTGCCTTGGGCCGCTCCTGGAGCTTCGTGCCCAGCACCCGGATCGTCCTGGCCATCGGCGAAGGAGCAGGAGCACCGGGCAGTCAGCGCACGGCGTGTCTGACTAAATCTCCCCGACTGGTGAGTCAGTCCCAGGGGAAAATAAAACTAATAATAACAATAAATAAAAATGAAACGAATAACAATAAACCGAAAAGAAATCATCTGGGCCCTTGAGGGGAGTGTCTATGCCCATAGCTGTCTTAGAGAGGAATTCGTGGATGCTGAGAACTTGCAACTAAAAACTTGGGTTGCTTCACTCAAAAACGTACCCCTCCCTCCTGTCTTCTCCAGCCAACAGGTTCCCAGGAGACGGTAGACATTGGGACCTGGGGGGCTCTGGAGCAGAGCCCACTGTTACAGGGAGAGCAGGCATGACTGTGCTGTTGATTGGGAAGGGAGAGGCCTCGAGGCCCCCGGCTCTCCTGTGCAGGAACGCCTGCTGTTCACTGCCAGCCAGCTCTTGGGATGCAGGACACACTCTCCGGCCCTGCAGAAGGGAATCTCAGATTCCTCATTTTGTTCTCTCTGTGGAAACATGTAGAGGATGGCAAGAGGCTGTGGTGGAGGACCCAGAAGTTCATGCTGGAGCCAAGTTTTCTTCCCTGGTTCCTACCATGCGCGTGTCTACTGGAGCCAAGTTCATTCACCCTGGCGTGGGGCATCTCTGAAGAGGCACGCTAGTGACTGGATGCTAACCCCACGCATCACCATCGTGCCTGCGCTCCATCCAAATACAGTGACTGAACCGTGAAACTTGCCTTTGCTTCTTTTGTTTGTTTTGCCTCTGTTTTTCCATCTGTAAAATGAAGCTCTCTTCCCCTTAGCTGTTTTTGAGTTACTGAGTTGAAATAAATGCAAAAACTCTTCTTCATCTATGTCCTGCTCTTAAAAATATAAAAAGGAAATTTCCTGAGCCCCAGATCCACCTCATTTCCCCCCAGAATGTTGCTTCCTCCTCCCACCCCACCCCCACAC